GTAGGCAATGGAAGGAGTCGCTCCCATCCGTCCGTCCGCCCGCTCGAATGAATGGAGTCTCTCTGTCCGCTCGCTCGCTAAACGAACTGTTGTCTCTGTCCGATGAGTAGCGAGTAGCAAACTACTCTTCACAAACGGACGGTTCGTTACCCGTCCGCTCGTCTGCGGGTAGTGCCAGCCAGTAGTTCGTTACTCGTGGACGCTAATTCTGTGAGCCCAACCCAACCCTACTCCTTACGTACGTCCCTCTAAAGTATAGATCTAGATTTAGATCTAATTAAGTGCGCTCACGGCCTTGACAATCGCTCAGCTGGACCGCATCACTTTTTCGATTGATATCTTGGCCAGACAAAGATCATGTATAATATAACAAGATAGCTCACCCCTCTATTTGAGCCAATAAAAAAAAGCGTCCTCAAAATTCGGCAACACCCTCTCAGAAAAAGTGCGGATTTTACGATCACAGTCACCCTACTAGTGCAAAAAAATAATAAAAGTAAAACTATCAAACTGTGCTATTCCGGACTATTCTTCTTCTGGAGAAACGAAAGTTGTCGAAGAGAGCTTCAAAACAAAGACTGCAGCGTCATCTTCAACCAAAGACTCCCACGGACTCTTTTTCAGTTGAGAGAACTATCTTGTTTTGTACGATCATCGGCCAATAGACACTCTACGAGGTCAGGATAACTTGCAAAGTCATCGGTCACTATTTATAACTTTGACCGGTAATTTACTACGTCACTTCTCATACATATAAGGAATACTGAAATTTTCCATTTAAAAAGGTCAGCGATTATGCCCTTTATATGGAGGTGGTCTGCGCACTTCCTGATCGAACTTGTAAGTCAGCCCTAAAGGCATATCTGTGCACTTCCTAGGTAGCCCGGCTCGCATCTAGAGGGCCTCGCCTTCGCAATTCCAGGGTCCACTTTTAGTGTCCGGTTTATGTGCCGCCTACAAAGCCTAGCTTATTATCAGGTGCAGTGGAGTACCGTACACATTGCCTCGATACTATCCGTACGGGAGGGCCATACGCATAGCCACTTCGTTTAAGTTTAAATTAAAATACCAAAATTAATTCACTATTCACTTGAAGTTAGACCTAGATCTAGATCTAGATCTAGTTACTCAACTCAAGTTGAATTAAAAGTTTTCTCAACATAGCTTAAAACATAGGGTACTGTACCATATAAATGTGAACATTTTATCCATGCCCCCTTCAACCCAAAAAAAGGGAAGGACTTCCGTAAAGAGCGACCACCTCAACAAACATCAAAGAATAAAGAAGACCTAAAACTAACTAATCCCAGACCCCACCCCTTTCAAAACCTTTGACTTTGCTGTTTATAGATCTAGTGGTCTTTCATTAAACAGAATTCCTCCCCCCAAAAAAGCAATACTAGACTAGAGGCTCTGATTCCATTTAAATTTTATGTTTAATGTTGAAAACCAGATTTCCCCAACTCCTCCCCCCATTTCCTCATTCATGCAATTCACTCAAGACTCAGGCTCAGGACAAGCAGATCTACCTGACCAACACTGCATGAGACATGAGATTTCACACTGAAAATAGAACATGCATCTCCACATTTGCTTTGCATTACCTTAAACTAAGTGAAGAGATCTCATTAAAACAGGTAGATCTATCATGCTTCGAATGGGGTTGCATGCGGACATAAAACAGTCAGACCTGTTGCTCTTCTAAACCAAAGGGAAATTGAAAAAAGTCAGCCTCAAACTTTCTCTTGATTGATTTGCCAATGCTCTTTGCAATCTGCCGTCCCTTCGACGACATTTTCAAGAACGGTAATGCTTTCTAGCATTGCAAACTGGTTAGAGGCACTAAAGCATTAATGGAGCCACAACACACTCATCAGCATTGACCGTCCGTGTTATCTACCCTCAACTTGATTTCCTATTGTCGGTACTTCCGACATTTTTTTCTCCCATCTTGATCTCACTGAGCTAGCCATATTTCCAGGACTTTGAAAGTAAAACTTTCAGTTACAAAAGATATATACTTTCAAAGTACCAAAAAGATTGACAAATTTCCCTTATTTCTCTTCATATCATACAAAAAGAAATAATAAGCTTTCCAAAACTCTGATATATATCAAATTTTGATATGTATGAGAAATTAAAGTTCAACGCTTTAAACGCTAATATGGCATATCAAAAAAACACCAATTAAGGTCACGTGATAAATGACGTCATTCATAATACATAGAAGTAGGCCTGGCCCAGGCTAGGTCTGAGAGATAGAATTGTTTTTTCGATCTCTGAGGCCTAGGCCTATCGCAATAGATTTAATAATAAAAGCGAATCGTTCATTCTTCATTCAACAGTGTCGGCCAGAATTATTCACTAAAGCAGTCACAATAATATTGTAAAATAATTATATCACAACGTATTATTATAAGC